AGTGGGCAGGGGAGAGCCGGCCTCAAGTGTATGTGCCCAAGAGTTGGCCCTGTCCTTTGCTTGGGCAAAGCAGGAGCTGGTCCTGGTGGTCCCCAGGTAGGAGAGCTGGCAGGATGACCAATTTAGCTACCTCCCAGGCCCAGATCCAGGGCTGTGAGCTGGCCTGTACAACATCTACCCCATTTATGAACTTCTGGAGTATGGGAAGGGACCAGTCCTTGACATCTCCATGACACAGGGCAACAACAGAATATCTGAGAGGAGTCCTGGTGAGCATCCAGTATTGACAGTGTAGCAGAAGCCAGAGACCTGGAACCAGACCAATGACTCACTGCAATGAACATTCACAAGCAAAGCTGTTTGGGCTAAAGGCTATACTGTGTGACACACCATGAACACACTGAAGCTCCCACAGTGAGATTTTATTTTATTTTTACTTATTTTTATTTTTTGTTTTCTTTGGGTAGGGGGAGGTTGCAAGGGTGGAGGGCAGATATGGAGGGATGGGGAGATGCGTGGGATTGGGGTGCATGATGTGAAATTCACAAAGAATCAATAAGAAGTCGAAAAAAAAAAAAAAAACAACCCGAGACTTAAGACCAGGACCCTTCAGAAAACATCCTGCCAGGATGATAAACACACAGAGGCTTTCCAGAGCAGAGGGTCAGCAAGGCAGGTGTCTGAACAATCTCCCCTCTTGACGTGAGCGCTGACCCTTCCTCAGGATGCTTCTAACAGGAGTTCATTCAGCCCTGCCACCCATGCTTACCCCTGAAAAGACAGCTGCTGCCTAGTTGAAGGATGGGGGCCATTAATCTGGGGCTGCCCTTATTTGCATAATTGTTGCATACATTTGCATCTATTTACTTCCAGCCTCTGAATGCTGCACTGTGGGTGTTTGGGTACGATTTGCATATCCCTGCAGGTGAGGGTCAGGTCTCTAAGACTTGGGTACTTATTAATTCCACCATCTCCAAGAGATTCTTTTATGTGGTAGTTCAGAAAAAAAAAAAGTTGCGATGCTTATTTCTAGAATGATCCTGGGGGAGGGCTCTAGGTGGAGAGGTGGGGGAAGCTCCAGAGTCTGTCAGAAGAGGATAACAGTGTGCCATACTGACGTTCCTGCTGTCTTCTCCTGACAGGCTACCCTACCTCTCCACCTAGTTAGTAATGCATACCCTGGGCTCCAGCCTAGCCCTGCTCTCAGCATCCACCCAACTCCTCCCCTCCTATCCAGAGAGCCTTGATATAATGGGTATGGCTACCTAGGAGCTTCCCCAAAATTTACTGAAGAAGTAACTGGCTGAAAGAAGGAAAGGGGAAATGAGTGGAGCCTCCTGCATACCCTCTAACAGCCTGACCCTTCAGCATCTTAGCCTATTTGTGGAACCTTAATTACTGAGCACAGGGTGATTTTTGAGGTGAGAGACTGGCCTGAAGAGGACCAAATCTGTAATGGAGGATGGCCGACCCCCAGGGAAACCAGGAACAGCCCCAAGACTGTCATTGTAGTGATACCTGGCCCCCACTCAACTCTGAGGGCCACGGGAACGATGTGTTGCTTTCATCCAAACAGTTGGAGCTGGGACAGCAGGCAGTTCCCAGTTAATATCATCGTCTGTGTTGGTGTCCCCTCAGGTTCATATAGTGAAACTTATGAAGAGTGAGGAGATAGAGCTCCAGAGACATGATTGTCATTGTCATGAGGGCTCCACCCTTATGGGATTATCACCCTACTAAAGAGGAGTTGGGAGCGTAACTTGATGGTAGAATGCTTTTCTAGCATCCATGAGGCCCTGCGTTTGATTCTCAGCACCGTCTAAACCAGGCTTGGTGGCACAAGCCTGTCATTTCAGCACTGAGGTGGTAGAAGTCAGAGTTGTAAAAGCTGGAGTTTATCTTAAGCTACCTAAGGAGTCCCAAGTCAGCCTGGGCTACATGAGACAGTCTCACAACAAAAACAAATAGCTGGACAGAGTTTGAAGGGAGGTGCCCTTTACCCCCTTTGCCATGTGTGGAACATACCACATACTTAATCAGCCAGCACCCTGTATTGGAAGTGTTGATCCCAAAGATGCACAGGGAAGAGACCACCAACCCAAAGTATCACGGTCAAATTAATTAAAGCAAGCTTTTTAATTTATGTACACGGGCTGCCTCCCCTTAAGACAGAGTTCAGGAGTCGAGCCTTGGACGTGGGGAAAATAAGGGCTTTTATAGCTCAGGGTAGAGGGTTTCCAAATGGGGTGTTTGGCAGACAAGCAGGTGGGATTACAGAAGTCGAATGTAACAAGATAGTCATGACAGCAAGTGTTACAATAACCTTTTGAAACAAAGAGTTGGAAGGTGGTTAGAATTTTTTGAAACATGGTTGCCATTTTCTGGACCAGGCAGTACTGAACCATTTGTAGTTAAGGTTATAAGTGGGGCATAGCCCAATCCTCAAGAAACAGATTTAATCATGAACAGGATTTTGTCTTCATTATAAGATGACTTTCAAGTCCAAGATGGAAGCAGGCTGGTTCATCAGGAATGTCCCAGCTTCTAGGGTAACAGCCAAGGATTTCTCTTTATGGATGACCTGGGATGAGGTATTTTACTGAAGTCTGAACACATCAATATAGCACTTAGTATGTACTGAGGTAACCTTTTATACCAACTACCGGCCCTTTAACGATGCTGAAGTTGGGTGTGATGACACTAGGGCTTTTTCACAGATCTCACTAGGAGAAGACCACTGGGTGATATAATTGATTCAATTCACAGATACCTGGCTCAGGTTATACATAACAAGCAAAAGAAGAAGGTCTCAGCCATGGCCTGTTGGCCCCCTGGGAGTGTGGCAGATGAGTGGCGGCTTGGACTTCATATCCTGTCCCCAAGCTTAGGCTGTATCTATACCTGAACTGTTCACCGTTCCGTGGTTGAAGTCCCTCATCTTTAAGATATCACAGAGATTTCAAACATGTTCCCCAGTAGACCAGAGGGTCCTTGAAGGAACTGTAAGGAAGGATGTGAAATTCAGGGAGGATGGATCATAGCAAGACAGGCTCTGAGTACAGTACCCCTACTTCAGCCAAGGGAGAAAAGACTATAACCAACCATGAGACTCCAGTGACTTTTAAAAACATTTTGTTTATTTATAAGTGTGTGTGTGTGTGTGTGTGTGTGTGTGTAGGGGGTAAACTTATCCATACCACAGCATATAGGCATATAGGCGTCGAGGACAGCTATTGGGATTCAGTTACTTCCTCCTACCATGTGAGTTCCAGGGATCAAACACAAGTTGTCAGGTTTAAAGGTAAGGGTCTTTAACCTCTGAGCCATCTTGCCAACATCTCTAGTGATGTGATGTTTAAAACAGGTTTGTGGGGCTGGGGAGATGGCTCAGGTTACATGGTTAAGAGTGCACTCTGCTCATGCAGAGGACCCAGGTTCAGTTCCCAGCACCCATGCTGGGTTGCTCACACCTGCCTGGAATTCCAGCTCCAGGGATTCTGATGCCCTCTTTTGGCCTCCTTGGGTGTACTCACATGCATGTAGCCACACACAAGCACTTAGATACATACGCACATGAGTAAGAACAAAATAAATAGTAAGAAAGAAAGACAGGTTGGAGTCATGCCTTAGAAATGCAGAGGGATTTATTTATTATTTATTTATTTAATTCTCGAGCTGGGTAGCATTGTGTGAATATCCAAACTGAAAGTAATGGGGTAACGCATGCCACCAGGTCAAAGGGCCACGAAAGGGTAGGAAACTGCTGTTTCCCATGCATGCCAAGGTTAGGTTTTTGTTTCACTTCCTATGGTTATTAGGTAAACCAAAAAAAAAAAAAAAAACAGCAACAACAAAACAATGCTAATCTACACTGACTTGTCTTGAGAACTTAGAGCTAAGGAGAGCACAGCACATGAATTTACTCATGTGCTCTGCGGCTTTCTCTTCTTAACTATGCAAAGAAACCCCAACTGGCAGGACAGGGCTCCCCTATTCAGTGTCTCCACCTCCATCAAAAACAACAACTAAGAGACAGGGTTGGGCATGTATGGGGGACTGTCATTTAAGAGGAAGACAGAGAGGTATAATACTCTCTGAGAGACTGTCTCTGAGACTGACATCGCAGGATCAGGAAAGAGGTATTGTCAGTTAGAGTTGGGAGAAGGATGGTTGTACTTTATCTCAGGGATCGGGGTCTGCTGCAAAACCATGGACCCACAGGCCTCTCTGAAAAATCTAGTACCTGTAAGTGTGTGTGTGTGTGTGTGTGTGTGTGTGTGTGTGTGTGTGTGCCTGCCAGTGTGCAACTCTGAGGTACCAAGCCAACCCCAGCCCCTCTGTAGGTCTGTCCTTTCTCCATGTTTACTGGCATGAAGGCTCACTAGAGCCTTGATAGGCATGGAACTTGAGGGGACTATGGCATGGCCTAGGAGACATGTCCCTCTTGCTCCAGGAAAGAGTAGTTTCCTGGGCAAGGACTAGAATGCAGTCTCAGGAGAGGATGAGGAAGTCTGGGAAGCTCAGCTTAGATCAGGAGACCCTTGGAGATGGAGGAATGAAGGTAAAGTTATGAGGTGGACCTTGAGACCAGGAGGGGAATGGCCTAATGGCCAGGGCTTTGGGTTGGCTCTTTCATAGATGGTGAGAAGCCTGAGGCATGGGAGAGAATTTGATGTTGACAGTAAGGGGGTAGTGAGGACAGGCGTAAAGGCCAGAACTCCTCCCCCTTTAGAGCTCAAGTCTTGGGTGTGGTGGTCCCCGTATATGCACTCTTGTCTGTGAGATGTGTCTGGGGAGGCTTTCAGAATTGTTCTACCGGGCCCATTTGCTTTCAGGTTGCACCTCTGAAGATCCATGAGTTGGGGATCCCACAGGGTCCTGTCTCAGTGTGTCACCTCCCTAGCCTCACAGCAGTCTGCTCACTTACTATATGGTCTCAACTGTCACGTGGTCCAAGGTCAAAGGAGACATGTGACCACCACACACCAATAGTCCAGAGGTGGTGTCTCTGGTGCTGTATTGTCTATGTCCCCATCCCAGTACTTATTGGACTTGATCCCGACCCCATAGTTAAAGTGTTGCCTTCATCCAGTCCATTGAGGGCATGTGTCCATTGTGACTGTCGGTGTCCTTAGAGAAGGAACTCCTGTAACGGCTGAGGAACCTGGGGATGAGGAGAGCCAGGAAGGTGTGAAATAGTCAGACACTGTCAGATTTTGTTCTCTCTCCAGTCTGTCCAGCTGGTGACATTCTCCTGAGTCCCTGGAGGTCCAGGTCTGTACTTGGACCCCTTGGGAAGGACATAGGGACTGTGAAATGGAGGCTGTGAGCCCAGGAATCAGACTTCCTGAGGATGTCAATAATGAGAAGGCCATGCAGAGCTGTTTCCATAGGCTGGTGGGAGGGAACATGGCTGAGCGGCTCTGAAGTCAAGTGTGACTGCTATAGTCAGGGAAGGCTTCTTGGAAGCAAGAGAGAAGAGGAGGAGGAGGAGGAGGAAGAGGAGAGGGAAGAGGAAGAAGAGGAGGAAGAGGAAGAAGAGGTGAGAGAGAGAATGACAAAGGAGTAGGGCAAACCACTGGTCAGCTTACCTCCTTTTGCATGAGCTCAGCATAAACCACACAGGCAGCTGAGATCAGTTCATCCGCATCAAGGTCGATAAGGTTGTTGCAGGCCTGGGGGAGGGGAATGCATGTGCATGGTGAGTGTGTGTGTGTGTGTGTGTGTGTGTAAACAACACTTCTCCTGTGCCTTTGGGCATAGGCAGCACAACGGTAAGAAAGCTACTATTCACAGCAGTTATTGGGGAGCTCTTGAGCTCTCCACAACCTGTCACGGTGTCTGCTAATTGTCTGCTTTGGGGATATGATAAACATAGCCTTCACATGGGTGTCTAGGAAACCCTGGGGTTCTGCTACCTGTCTCAGCTTCCTAAGGAAGACTTGGTTTATAATTGGAGTACCACCTTAGGTGTTTTCTCCCAGGTACTTCAGCTGGCTTTTAAAGCATATCTAAAAAAAGCATAGGCCCTTTTGCTACACGGCCAAGGGTTAATGCCAAGGCAGTAGAGTTTAGTGGTTAGACCATTCAAGGCCTCAGTTTCCTCACATGCTTATTTGGATGGTAAACCAGCACGGCCTCTGTCGCTGCTGCAGGGTGTTTGAGGCTATTCTACTAAAAGCCATCATCATGGAGCTCCAGACTTCCGCTCTCATCACCTGCTCGCCTCTGGAGGCAAAAGCTGCCATAAACCAGAGCACCGTGGGCCTACATCCTTCTGTGAGGATGTGTGGGTACAAGGATCAGGCTGTAAGCTGGCAGGGGATCTGGCCAAGGGCACTCTCACCATGAGAATGGCGTCTCCGCTCATACACTCCAGCAGTGCCTGCTCACGCACCATCTGTAGCATGCTGTAGGCTACCAGGACCTGGAAGTTCCTGCAAGGCTTCCCCGTCAGCAGGACCTGTGGGCAACCAGCAGGCTTCAACCCCATTGCCTGAGACCAGGATAAGGGGGGTAGGGGGTGGGGAGCAAGCCACCACAAACCCACACACTCAGAACAGGATATAGAAGAAGCAGAATTTGAACGGGAGTTTAGCAATCCAGGGTTTCCCAAGAATCTGTGGCAGGGGTGGTTATATTTCAATTTGAACTTGGAGGCTGGCAATCCAGGCTGAAACGGTGAGCCAGGTGGGAGCTGCATTGTGGGACAGTCCATGCCAGGCTGGCAGTTGGGCTGGACTCTCTAACTAGGAGCAGCTGTGAGGCAGGACAGCCACAGGTGGTGGTTTGCCCCTAAGGAAGATCATCTGCTGGTGGCCGGAGGGACTGTTGTTGGAAGACTTCAGGTGTCCTTGGGGCCCGCCTTGTGGGGGAAGCAGCTTTTAAGAGAAGAAAGCCAGCATTCTGGAGGAAGGAAAGGCTGAGGAAGGGCCGTGAAAGACAACAGATAGCAGGGGAGGGTGGGAGCAGCTGCAGGTGCCTCTGCTAACTGCCCTATAGAAGGTCAGTGGCGTCTGGCATCACAATTGGTGGACAGATGCTCTAGCATTCTCCAGCAAGGCAGGAGTAGGGTTGATAACCTAATTAAACTGCAAATCACAGAGCACCATCCAAAACCCGGAAGAAAGGGAGGCAGGAAAACTTGCAGCTTCTCTCCTTAACGCAGGAGGGGTACAGTCTACCTTAAGTGCCCCCAGCTGCATGCGTCTTACCTCCCAGAGCCTCCAGACATCATCAAAGGATTTGAAGGCACGCTGGAAGCAGAGGCAGAACCATGGGAAGAGGGACTGCACAGCTCCCGAGCCCTTCCCTTCTGTGGGGGAGAGAAACAGATGCTTATGCCACCACACAACAGAGCACAGGGGACAAAGGAGACAAGAAAATGTCACCTGCTGCTTTCCCAACAAGCCATGGACTCTGTTTGGAGCATAGGTTTGACATCATAGACCCAGGCTCCTCCATGTTGGTCCTCCCCTCCTGAATGTGTCTGTCAGGCTGGGCCCTGACACTCCCACAGCCTACCCACTGGTTTGAGACGTAATAGTGGACCACTCACTGAGGTGTTCAGCAAATTCAGGGTCCAGTAAAGTGATCAGGCTGTTGAGCATGTCCAGGTTTTTGCCTACACCGATGTTAATGACACAACTGTGCTCCTGTATAAGAAGGGACCAGGGATCAGTCCTCCTAGTTCAACTTGAGGGCATCATGGAAGAAAACCAACCTCTCACTCCCATGAGAGGCCATGTGTCTGGTTCATCCACTTTTGTGTGTGTGTGTGTGTGTGCGCGCGCGCGCGTGCCCCATGCCTGTTTGCACGTGTGTAAATCATCTCTGGGCAGCCATGCATTCACGTGCATCTAAACATAAAGGAGTGAGGGGGAGCGGCAAAGATGTCCAGCATATGGCGGTGACCCCAGTGATTAGGTCAGAGCTGAGAAGAAAGGTTCAGCAGGCATATTATTGCAGGGGTGCAAAGAGAGGCAGGGTTGTGGGAAGCTTCTAGAGGGTGGCATCTTTTCAGATGGCAATATCCTCATCCTGGGTGCAGAGTAGGGTGCCTCTGGTTATGACTGAGTCCTTCAGGGGGTCTGGATTATAGGTCATTGGAGGGGGGAACAGGAGGAGGCGGGAACAAAACGGTGCCCTTGGAGACCTGACAAAGGCTACTGGATTGTTTTCTGAGTCCTGGGGAGCCATAATGGATCAGAAGGGAGATCTGTGTTTAAGGACTGAAAGGCCAGCAGAGGGGGCCACCACTGGGCCTGGTAAGAATGGGACCCAGAACAGCTCTCCGGAACTCTGAGGCTTCTACTGCACACCCGCTGACCTACAGGGTGTTTGGGGGCTGGAGGAGGTGTCTGAGGCTGTTAGTGCCTTGGGCTTCATGGGTGGTGGGGAGGAGGAGATTTGAGCCCGGTTTAGTCCTCACTGTTTTCTGCAGGAAGAACTGGAAGAGCCAGAAGGTCTCATGGTCGTGCTCCACCATCAGTTGGAAAAGCATCACCATCTCGTGGAAGCCTCGCTGGTACTCTGCAGGGGAGGGCACCGGTGAGGAGGAGCTAATGGGCCCTGGGCCAGGGTCCTGAAAGGAGCCAGCAAGTATGGGTTGGGGTTCCGCCCACCAGCTTTTAGCTTGGGCTGGGACTCCGCCCCCTGCTCACCAGCCTTTAGCACGGGCTGGGGCTCCGCCTCCCCCCCCCCCAGCTCACCAGCCTTTAGCTTGGGCTGGGGCTCCGCCCCCTGCTCACCAGCCTTTGTGTTGCAGACGTAACTCAGCAGCAGAGTCTTCTCCAGTTTCTTCTTGTCTATAAGCACGTTGCCCAGGGGATCTTTGTCATACAGCTTCTGGATGTCGTAGGCTAGATCAGAGCAAGGGACGGAAGTGACAGTCAGTCATCTCCAGCATAGAAGGCAAGAATTATGTCATCTCCCTCAGTATAGGACAGGTCCTAAAAAAAAAAAAAATGCCTAGCAGGGGGCTACAAAAGGCACGTCAGCCCCCCTCCGCCCCCCATTCATCTTCATACCCCGCTGGTCTGGGCTTCTCTGCCTCCAAATGCTCCTCCCATACAGTTCAGATCTGATTTAGTTCAAAGTCACGGGGGTGGGGGTGGGGAGAGGAAGACAAAAGCAACAGAGATAGCATGTGGCCGGGAAGCACACCTAGGAGTACGCAAGGGCACGGGCGACTGCATTGACCCAGGTTTGGCTAGGAAAATTCCAGGCCAAAATCAAGGCAGCTGCCAAGCCCCAGGAGTCACCTGTGCCCGGAAATGACCAGGAAAAGACATGAATGGCTCCTGCCCTCTCCTCTGCCCAGCCCCTCCCCCTCTGCTCACCGATGTTGTTCCGAGTCTCTGTGAAGTTCCCGTGTAAGTTTTCCAGCAGGGGCTGGATTTTCTCATACATCTGGCACAAGGAGTTATAGTTCCTCCTGAGAGAACAGCATTGGGGCTGAGTAAGGTGGCCTTCCCCTTCCCAGAGGGGACAGTTAGGCGGCAGCAGCTGCTGAGCTCAGGGGAATAAGGTAGCCTTGCCCACCTGGTCCCCACCTGCGGTGCTTTCGCCCATCTCAACCCGAGTGGCCTTGAACAAGCGTTCCCCAACACGCAGCTGGCACAGTGTCAAGACAACTTAACGTAGGGTGGGCTCTATGGTATCTCTGTAGCATCTGAATCCTGCAGCCACCACTTAACAACAGAATATCTGCAGAGGGATGCCGCCCTCCCTTCTCTAAGCCTCGGTTTCCTCATCTGCAGAGTGAGTGGCACCCCCTCAGTTGGAAAGACTGATGCTGAAGACTGAAGCGGATTTAGTCAGTCCAGTAACTGACTGGTGGCCTCTAAAAGTCATATCCGAAATGTAACCCCTAGGATCTGTAACATGATCTTATTCATAGAAGAGGTCTTTTAGGATCTCAAGATGAGATCACTATTTTCTAGGGGACCTATAAATGACAACTGTCTTTATAACACACACGCGCGCACACACACACAGATTGGAGGGCATGTGTCCATTGAACCAGAGAGTGAATGGATGTAGCCTCAAGCCAAGGAAGCTTCCGTGGGAGGTGTGGAGAAGAACCTTCTGTCTCTCAGCGCCTTCCCAGGAAGCTAGCATGCAACCTTGTCTTCTGACTCCAGAATGCCAGAGGAAAAAAAAAATGTCGGTTTTTGTCAAGCCCCCCCCCCCATTTGTGGCACTTTGCCTCGGCAATCAGGTGGGCTGTTCCTCAGGCCCCCGGTACCTGGTCTGACACTCACATCCCTTCTGTCCTAGACTATTGTCTGCTGGTCCCTTGTGGAGTTGTCTTTTCCATATCCTGGCTGGGAGCTGCCTTGGGGCTGAGATCACCTTCTGCTCCAGACCCCCTAAACTTAGTCAGGCAGCCTAAGATGGACACCCCCAAGAAAGAAGCAGTCAACTGTGGGATCATTCAGACCCAGCCCACCTCGAGCACTGACACAGACAGGTGAGGGCTCAGACTCTGCCTCAGGGTGCTCTCCACGGGGGAGAGAAGAAACAGGCTCCAGGCTCAGCAAGTCCAAGTCTCAGGGTCCCAGAAGTGGGTGGCATCCCCACCAACACGAACCATAGGTGTTCTTTCCCTGAGCACGGTGACATGCCTGTCCCTATAATGAGATCATTGTAACCATTCTGTGAACTGTCCTGTGACCCCAAATTGGACAGTGGAGGAGATGAAGCGTTAAGCCGGGAAGTTTACTGGAGAGTGTGACGTTAATGTTAATTTGAATTGAATTCTCTCCCAAACCCAAGGCTGTTCCGTGTTCAAAGACTGCGTGCTACTCACCTATGGAGATTCTCCAGTCAATCAGGGCACACTTGATTGATCAAGCAGTACTCTGCTTGATCTTGGCCTTGAAGCAAGGGCAGAGTTTTTGCATTATTTATTCAGTGTGTGTGTGTTTGTGTGTGTGTATGTATGTATGTGTGTGTTTTTGTGTACGTGTGTGTATATGTATGTGTGTATGTGTGTGTGTGTATGTGTGTGTCTGTGTGTATGTGTGTGTTTTTGTGTACGTGTGTGTATATGTATGTGTGTATGTGTGTGTTTGTGTGTGTATGTATGTGTGTATGTGTGTGTCTGTGTGCCATATACTTGTGGAAGTCATGGGACAGATTGTGAGAGTCCACTCTCTCCATCCACTATGGGTTTGAACTCAGATCGTCAGGCTTGGCAGCAGATGCCTTTATCCTCCAAGCAACCCCACTGGCCCAAGGGTGAGGCTTTGAGAAACAGACAATAGGGAGACCAGTGTAGGTGGATGGAGAAAGAGTGAATGAGCGAGCCAAGAACAGAGTCCAAAAGAACACCCAGCTCTGGCAGAGTGGTTGAGAGGACGGAGATGCCCTGGGTGTCAGTTTTCTATCAACGTGGCACAAGCTAGAGCCGTTTTAGAAGAAGGAACCTTGATTAAGAAGATGCTCCCAGCAGATCAGCCTGTGGGTAAGCCTGCCCTCATTTCCTTCACTAATGATTGATGTGGGATGCCCAGCCCACCTCTGGGTCGGTCCCTGCTGCTCTAAAGAAAGCAGATTGAGCAAGAGGTGAGGAGCAAGTCAGTAAGCAGCACTCCCCCATGGCCTCTGCATCAGCTCCTCCCTCCAGGCTCCTGCCCTGACTTCCCTCAGTGATGGGCTGCAATGTAGAGCGATGAGCTATGGAATAAGACCCTTCCCCCACAAGCTGCTTTTGAGTATGGTGTGTCATCACAACAGGGATAACCCTAACGCTGAGACAGACCCTCGGGAAGCTGGTATGTGGTCAGATGGAAGGTTCTGGGATGAGGGGGTCAGGATTGGGAAAGGGAATGCTATTTGAAATGTCAGCAGATACACCTGCAGGACTGTTTACCCCGAGGACATGAGCAGCCCATACTGGGCACTGGGAACAGATGTTGGCAGGGCAGAGGGCAACCTAGACTCAGGAGACAGTTCAGCCATGGGGTTTGGGAGTAGCAGTTGGTGGAGTGAGGATTGGGCCCTTCACGGGTAGGTTGTGTGGGAAAGGGTGGGCTTGGTGGTAAGGTGATGAAGGAAAGTGGGACAAGCTCCTGCCTGTGACTTATTTGGTCAATGGAACTGGAGAGGAGGCGCCACCTTAAACCTGGCTACACCTCCCGCGTGTGAGTCCTGTGCAGGAAGCATCAGGGAGGTCTTCTAAGAATAAGGAATACATATAAAGAAGAAACCTGAATCTTTAGGCTGAGGGGGTATCCCACCCCATACCCCCACTGCCACCTGAAGCCCCAACAACTCTCCACTGAAAGAGAATCTAGAAAGTTCTACCTCCTGTTGCTGTTCACCATGAGTCGCTCATCCCGGGAACTCTGCCATGAGTAGTACCCCGTAAGGAACTTCCAGGCTTCTGTTCTCACGAAGGGATGTAGTCCCTGGGCATGAAGGTCATGAACTCTCAAGCAAGGTGCCTACTCAGAGGGCTTTGCCCAACACCATGCCTGATCCCTGCCCTCTGTGCCACCCCCTAGTGTCAGGGCATGAAGGTAGCCTGGAGACCATACCCTTTCCAGGATGTTAATACAAATGAAGTCTCGTGACTTGGCCAAGTGACCGTTCTCATCGAAGAAGCTATCCCATTCTGCCTTGTCAATGGAGGGGTTTCTCTTCTCCTGGTGAGAACAACCAGATTAGTCTTCTGCTGCAGTCTGTGGGCTTTCCTTTTAATGTAAGGTGGTTTTCAAGTGCTAGGCTCTCAACTTTGTGAGGGATCAAAATTCGTAGCTTCTGATTCTAGAATACTCTATCCGGAGGAAATTGCTGAAGATAAGTGGGAAAGGAAAATCTAGGAAGGACAGTAATGCTCACTGCATGTGTGTGATTTACCCAAATGAAAAATGTAAGTACACTCAATGCTCTGCAATAAGGGAATGACTAAGTAAGCCATGTTTTACAGATGCTGTGGACTACCGTGAGGCATAGGAAATCATGTTTACAAGGCATGAAGAATGATCTGGAAACACAAATGTTAACAGAAAAAAAAAAAAAGAAGAGTACACAGTTTGAAACGTGACATTCTCCTTACACACCAGTACCGCCTCTCCATGTAGTCTGTCCATCTGCACGCTGGACTCTCTAGTACAGCCGGATCAGGGGGTCACAGTACTACTGCTTGGATACTGTGTTTGTTACATAGTACAAGAACTGTACCACAGGAACTCGTATGTATTCTTTTAAAAAGACTGAAGGTTGGGCACAGTGGCACATGCCTGTAATTCCACCCAGTCCTTGGGAGGCAGGTGAATCTCTGAGTTTAAGGACACCATGGCCTACATAGTGATTTCCAAGCCATATGAAGCTACACAGTGAGACCCTACTTCAAGGACAACAGCAACTAAATAAATAATGGTAAAAATACTGAAGAAAATACCAAGAAAACACCCTCCATTAAAAACAACAGTAGGGCTGGAGAGATGGCTCATCAATTAAGAGTGTTGGCTGCTGTCCCAGAGGACCCAGGTTCAATTCCTAGCACCCAGATGGCAGCTCACAATCAGCTATAACTCCAGTTCCAGGGTACTTGATGCCCTCTTCTTGGGCACCAGGCACATGTGTGGTACACAGATATGCATGCAGTCAAAACATCCATATGCACCCAAATTTAAAGAAAAAAAATAGTCATTGATGTTAGGGACGTAGCTCAGTTGGTAGTGTGTTTGCCTAACATACTGGAAGCTCCAGGTTTGATCCCCAAAACCACATGCCTGGTTCGACTACACACACCTGTGGAGGCAGGAGGACCAGAAGTTCAAGGTTATTCTCAGCTACGCTGTGAATTTGAGGCCAACCTGGGATGCATAAGACCCAGTCTCAAACTGGGCAGTGGTGGCACACACCTTTAATCCCAGCACTTGGGAGGCAGAGGCAGGTGGTGAGTTCAAGGCCAGCCTGGTCTACAGAGTGAATTCCAGGACAGCCAGGGCTACACAGAGAAACCCTGTCTCGAAAAAACAAACAAACAAAAAACCCAACAAACCAACCAAACCAAACAAAAAAACAACCAAACAAACAAACGAACAAAAAAGACCTAGTCTCAAAATGAAACCAAAAAGCTACCGTGAAAGTTAAGCAGTATAAATATTTCTATTTTCCCTTTTTAACATATTTTATGTTTTTCTATGATTGCACCGCTTTGATAATAGAAAGATTAAGATAAGCACAAATTAAACAATTCATGTGCTCTGTTTTATCTTCTCTGAAAATATAAATCAGCGGGTCGCGGGAATATTCAGGTGAGGAGACGCGTGCACGCCTGGCCCGTGTGTGGTTGGCACAACACACTTGTGTATGAGTAGTAAGGACGGTACTTGAAAAGCATTTACAAAATAACACTAAGGATGAGCAAAAGGTCCCACTCCCCAGGGTGTGTGCTGAAGAGAAGGGGATCGTGAAATGCCACATGTCTGCAGAGAGACATGAACTGCTGGGCAGAACCCAACAGCTGGCCAGAGCTGTCCCCATCTTTCTCTGAATAACTCGATATGTAGACACCCGGCTCTAAATTAAATCTGTAATTCAAATCACTTGAGAGTCTTCTGGTTCAGAAAATTTGAGGAAACAGCCTACAGAGACGCCTTCCTAACAGTTTCCTGGGTGACGAAGGCTGTGGCTCACAGATTGAGTGATGAGCCAGGTGTCAGGAAGTAGGAAAACATTTGCCTTGAAAAGCCAACAGTGAGCCGCCGACAGCAGGCAGGTCAGTGTCCCTATCTGCAGGTCAGGTGGGCTAAGAGCGCCCTCTATTTGTCAGTGTGGTTGGTGAGTGCGCGCAAGCGCATATGTGGGCACATCTTACGAGTACGTGTGCAGGCCTGAGGTTGATGCTGGGAATCATCTTTGATTGCCTGTTCGACCTTATTCACTAAGGCAAGGTCTCTCAGTCAAACCCAGAAGTCACTGATATGGCTAAGTTCCCCTAGTCCGTTTGCTCCTGGCATCCTTCCCCCGTCTCTGCCTTCTGAGACTGGAATTACAGGAGAACCACCCTACCGACCCAACATTTCACATGGGTTCTGGGATCGGAACTTGGTCCTCATGTTTACAAGAAAAATGCTTCAGTGCTGAGCCATCTCCCTAGACTGAACACCCATCTTTAATTACTCCCACACGCTGTATCTGCTGGACCAACACGGAGAAATGGGGCACTGGGAGATACAGGCAACCTTGACAACGGACTGCCCTTGGGAAGTAAGGTCTCCCTGACGCTGGCGATCAGCTCCATACTTGGGTGTTCACGAATCGTTGAGGAGAACTGGTCAGCCCACTGCCTGGGTCTGGAGAGCAGCTCTACCACTAACTGGATACCTGCCAGTCAGGATGCGAAGTCTCCAAGATCTAATCCTCACTTACCAAATGATAATAGCCTGATCACATCCCGTCTCAGAGGGCTGGGATGAGAAGAAATGACTATAAACAAAGTACTAACAACACCATGTGTACACACCGACGGCTGTGTGGCAGCTTATTCATTCTTATTAGTTTTAGCTTTCTCTCAATTTGGAGAACTGGAGAAATATAGAAAAAAAATATTCAACGCTTGGTGATCATCTGCGATAAACGTTTAACATTTAAACCTCAAGCGCCCATTTTGGATTTTTATGTATCGCCCTATTAATCACATGACAAATGGGTCTTGAGATTGGTTAAGGTCACTGTAATTAGTTATGATTTTGAAAAATAGCGCGTGGAAAACTTTTATGACTCAGGTGGACCAGAATACGTTCTTGACTGGTCTTGGGCCCTAGTAACAGAAGCACTACCGCCACCTGGTGGCAACATACCAAAATTGTTGGCAAAAACCGCCAAAGAAAACAGCCAGAGCCTGCAACTCTGAAACTCAATCCGTTTAGAGTGACAAGGTTGGGGAGGAAGCCATACCGAGTTCTAAGACCCCTCCCCTCTTTTCTAAGGTAAAAAGGGATATAGATGTCTAACCTGTGACTCCTGTTGAAGGGAAACGGCCCTTGCTCTCCCTTCCATGGCCAGCCTTTCCATTCATCAGGGACAAAGAGTCCCACTATAACCGGGAGGATAGGGAGGCAGGCACTTGGGACTGATGAAGAACATGTGTGTGGCAAAAGGATCGCAAGTTCAAGGCCAGCCTGGGCAGCGCAGAGAGACCTTAAATCAAATCAAAGAACGTACCAGAATGAAAGTAGCTGACCGCCTGGCAGAGAGGCTGTTTTCTGGAGAAAGGGTGGTCATGTTCCCCCCTTGCTGCCTTGATAGTAGCCTGTGTCCAGCTCTTCCCTAGTGATTAGGGAGCCAGGGAAAGGGGACTTCCTTTTAAGAGATGAATTGCATTCCCCAAAGGAACTGGGCCTCTCTTGACTTCCCACATTTGAACAAATCCAGTTAGATGTGTGTCACAAGGCTCTGGAACTGCCATCACAATGACCTTGGAACACACACAGAAGCAGAGGGAGTAAATCCACAGACCACCCTCTCCCCAAATTACAGTCCACTCAGGTAGTACATTGGAGGTTGAGTTAATGGATCCAGTGGGCTGGGCTAGGCAGGGTGGCCTTCCTGGAGAGGAGGTGAACTACAACTCCATATCTCTGGCTGTTGTTTTACCAGACCAGTACCAGAGCTCATAGTAACTACACTTCAGAGCGTCAGGTTTAGGGAGGACTTTCCAAAACACCAAATCAGTATATCTGGTCTGGAGACCAAGAGAGTAGATTTATGTAAGTCTACACAGGGGGCTATGATTTAGTATTTGAATAGTGGCTCCTGATGGTGTGTGTGTGTGTGTTGTGTGTGTGTGTGTCCCTCTACCTTATTTTTTTTTAACTTTATTTATTTATTTATTTTTTGGTTTTTCGAGACAGGGTTTCTCTGTGTAGCCCTGGCTGTCCTGGAACTCACTCTGTAGACCAGGCTAGCCTCGAACTCTCAAACTCAGAAATCCTCCTGCCTCTGCCTCCCAAGTGCTGAGATTAAAGGCGTGCGCCACCACCGCCCGGCTCTACCTTATTTTTTAAAACAGGGTTTCTCAACTTGTCTAGGCGGGCTGGTCAGTGATCCCCAGGGACCCATCTGTTTCTGTCCCCAGCACTGGGGTACAGATGCGTACATGTGCACGCATGGCTTTTTACAGGGGTGCTGAAGCTCCACACTTGGTCAGGATCGCACAGCAAACACTTTGTCCACTGAGCCAACTCCCCAACCCTCCACTTTATCTCTCTACCCAGAGCAAGTCTTGGGCAAACTGAGACAGTTGGTTTGAGCACCAACTGAATGAATAATTTAATGAAATAGCTGGCGCTGCCGGGTGTAAGGGTGCACGCTCTTAATTCCAGGACTCAGGAGGCAGAGGCAGGCAGATCTCTGTGAGTTCAAGGCTAGCCTGGTCTACAGAGTGAGTTCTAGGACAGCCAGGGCTACATAGTGAGACCCTGTCTTGACTAAAACAAACTGCCACCCTCGTACACCCCTCTCTGTATCTTGTATGTGTCCCTCTCCCTCCTACCCTGATATCCGTTAGACCGGGGCCAACATCAGGTTATTTTGTGCTCAGTCTTCTAATGCCCCTGCCTCAGCTTCCTGGTGCCTGGTAGATGCTGCTGTTAGATGGACCTGAGAAGGTGGTGCCTCTTGGCTCCAGAGCCGTGCTTTCTACTTCCTTACTTGCCTTTCTCTTCAGGTCTGTCCTGGCTGGAAAGCATCGCTAGTCATTACACAAACCAAATTGTAGTCCAAGTTCCACCTCAGAGTCTGACCTCAAATCTGAAATCTACCAATCCCCGGGATTCCCCAGCCGTGAAATCAGAACACAGCCAACCTCCCTGCCTTTGTAATCTTATTAACCGAGCTGTCCATGTGGAAGTCTTGCGTAGACACCTTTCACTGTCTCCTTGTTTGTTACTGTTCTGCTGGCCGGAGGCACTACAGGAAGTCTCTGACACTTCAGCAGCAACACCTGTCTTTCGCCTCCCTCTGTTTCCCAATCCAAACACAGGAAGATACCGAGGGCCTTTGCACCTTGGCCTGCTGTCCCAGTCTTGGCAGAGCTGGAGGGGTGGGCAGCACCAGTAGGCACTGAGGGGAATAGGAATCGACTCCTCCCACATCAGAGCAGCTTCCTTTGGAGGTCTGCGAGGTTTCCAAGTCAAACGTGGGCAGCAGGAGACACCGCGTGGGTGTTCCTCACCGCTGATGACAGGAGCTGGTGACGGAGGCCTCGGTTCTCCACGTTAGCAATGCACCTTGAGGAGAATTAAACTGCAAGCTTCCCCGAAAAGACGAGGATTGGGCAGAGAGGAGTTGGAACAATCTGAATGCTGAGTGCAACTTAGTTTCTAAACCGAGTGTGGCGGACATAGATCATATGCTGAACTTCCTTCAACCTTCGGCTCCCTGGGTCCAAATGCCGGGTCATAACTCTGCTCCAAATTAGCCAGCGCCCGTCTACTCATGTTACCGCAACCTCATAGAAACGATACAGAGGCTTAATATCCGAACTGAATTAAAGGAACTCCACAGAGCACAAAGGGCCTGAATCTGACCCACATATTTTCAGATACTTTTTTAAGAGATGAATTTATTTGTGGGTGTGAGTGTACGCTCATGCGTGTGTGTGCACAGTTGTGTACGTATGCTCAGAATCCAGAACGAGGCATTGGATGTCGTCCTCCCTCACTGTCCGTCTGCTCCAATAAGGTAGCTTCTCTTCTTAAACCCGAGGCTCCCACTTTCCCCACTCGCCTAAAAACCAGCTAGCCCCAGCTGTTCTGTCTCCTCCTCCACTTCAGAGCTGGGGTTACAGGTATGCCCCAGACGCCCAGCTTGTTACGTGGGTGCTGGCATCCAGATTCCTGTCTTCATGACTGTGCAGTAAACACTCAACGGCTGAGCCATCTTTCCAGTCTCATTTGCATATTCTTACCAGCACTTGACGTCTCCTGCGTCTCCTGGGTCTAAACAGTCCCTGCTTCCATTTGGGTATAAAATTGCCAAAGATTTTTGGATGCCGGCTTATTTCCCTTTTATGCGTCTCTCTCTCTCTCTCTCTC